GTGAGAGAGAGAGAGAGAGAGAGATAGAGAGAGAGAGAGAGGGCAAATGACCCTGGTTGTTTTCAGCGTGTGTCCTTGTTGTGTTCTTCTTAAATTTGCAATAATTATGATAAAATGGATTAACATAAACATCATTCACATCATTTGAAGAAAAAAACATCACAAAACAAAATTATGTATTGAAAACAATCTAAAATAAGTATTCATTGAATGTTCATCGAACAAAAACATCCCATTCACTATATCCTTCATTATTGCACCGCACACAATTCCATATAATTATTATCATCATTAATTCTTGAAGATGAAACAACCCTAAAGTGGTCAATAATCATAAGCACAAAGTGTAATTTGTATGATGTAATTAGATTCAATACACCTACATTTAAGAAGAGTGCATATTTGGGATGCAGATTACGTGTTTCCAGAGGAATACAGCACTTTTATCATAATAGACGGTCCATGGTCTCTATCTGCACCAACGCTGTGCGGTTGCCTGAATGGAAACACACATGATACAGATGTGAAGAATCTTCTTCAACTTTAACTGACTCCAAACATGACGCTGGAATTACGCTACACCCCAGAGATTACACACGACCTCCATGCAATGAACCGAACATAAGGTAGGCTTTCTAAATCTTCATATACATGTACTACGTGATTGTCTAAGATTTGATAAATCAATAAATGGAAAGCACGTTTATTTTTTTCGAAACCTCGGACTAGCGATTAACTTCTTAAGATATTTAGGTAATTGAAAACAAATATCCTCTTTGCTATGAGGTGTTAAGCTTTTAAAATGTTTAACTTTTTAATTTGCAAACAATATAAGAACTCCAAATTTCAAGAAGTGCTTGATCTGCCAGGATTTAAAGACTGTTTTCTGAGTTCAGATGAAAAGATTTTTATTTTATGTCGAAACAGAAAAAGCATGTCTACCTGGTGAGAGGTTATTAAATGCGATTATATGGAAAGCAGTGAGGGCTTTCAGAAACCTTACAATTCGATTACCTTTTGAACTGCTGCATATTCCGACTGAGACGATGACGTGGGTTGCAGAGTGACGTAATCAACGTGACAGGAACAACGGAAAACAAGCCATGTAAGAATGAAATGGTGAAATCATGCCATATCTTCAACATAAATTGCCAAACTTCGACACATTTCTTTGACGACGAATTAACGCTTTTTGTAATAAATATTTCTCTTTCTATAATAAATATTACTCCTCTATCCACAATGCATTGAAATGCATATGCTCGCCTTAATGCTCTTCGATTAAGCCGTGGCAGTATAGATATTATTTTGCTCTGCTGTTTGGTAAAGTGATTTGCATATCGAGTGTTTTTTACATTTACTTAATTTTTTAAGGATAAACAATATGGCTATGATCAATTATATTTTGCGGAAGACACCACTTCAAAGGATGTGATCGTTGCTTTGAATCGTGTTGGTACATACAGATGGCGAAAACACGTTTTATGCATATTGTTACGTAGCACAAAACGTCGTCTGTTGAGGTTTTAATTTGTAAATACCTCTTCTACATGAGATTTCTCGTGTTTGTTTTGATTTTCATGGGTAAATAGCTCTAAACTGAGCCAGATGGCGTAACTTTACGACGGCTTGAAGATAACCATACAATCCAGACCGTAACGAATTCCATCCACTCATATTAACGCGGCCTTCTGACATTCTGACATAATTATGTCTAAGTAACCCTCCTTCTTGTTTGCATGTTTTCACAGTTTAGCATTCAAATCCGCCGACGCGGCTGAGCAATTCCTCGATTACGAAGAACAGACCTCTTGTTATTAGGCATAGTTGCATTATTCCTCCATTGATAAAAGCGAAGCATTGCTTACAGTCCAAAGCCGTCTTTCATTCTCTGTTATTATTTAGCATAGTGAGGCATTATGCGGGCATAGTTTGAAACATTCTCTATTTACATTAAATGATTCGGCGCCCATCAATTCTTAAAAACCAGGCGTACACCTTGTGATGCGTTCCCTCGAAAATTGTACGCGTGCCTCTTGCTTACTCTCACCACTTTAATTGCGCAAGGCAGAAAGTGACGGAAGGTTCGGGTATCGATGAAAAAACATACCTTTCAACAGGTAAAACGCAATTTTTCTTTTCGTAATGTCTGATGTTCATTAATTAATTTAGCACGAAAAATATTCAGATGTTACTTATTCCACCACTGGCAGAGAAGCCTGTTTGCAGAAAACCCACCGCAGATA